TTTAGAAGTAAATTTATCAACAGTCAAACTGAGAATTGAAAAATATTTAAAACAAAATAGATAGAATTGAATAGAAAATATACTGAGAAAATTATTAATCTCCTTCAAAACTACTAGATGTAAGAATATAATTATTTTGTATTTATTTAAAATATATTCAATAAACCACCAAGGCGAAGGAACGCTGTTCGGTGCAGTTATTATTATTAACATTATCCCAATCAACATCAAGAAGCGACTCATTTATTCGTTTATAATCAGCGTTGTTGAAATCTCGATATGTTTGTATTGTTTCAGTTGTCTTTATGATTGGCTCTTTATATCGTATACTAATAGCATTATGATGCTTTTCAAAATTCAACAAATGAAAGTCGCTAATGGTGCTTTGAAGCAACTCAGCATCATTTGTCCAGATTAAATCAAGCATACGACCATTTTGGTTGTAGTTCTTGTTAATCTGGTGAAGTCCCAGTTCATAGCAAGTATCCAGCACTATCTTCTCTTTTTCACTGGCTGCATTGATAGCAATTGCAATGTCTGGGTCCTCATTGTCGTCAACAAACCAAATCAATTTAGGAAGATTGAAGTCTCCGGTCACAATGAAAACATCATTTGTATTCAATTTTGATGCGACTTCTTTCAAGGCATACATGTTGTTTTCATACACCTTGAGTGTTGAATCTGTTCGAATATATAATTCAACCAAAAAGATGTTCCTTTTCATGCCGGCTATCTTTACCCAAATTTGTTCAGCTCCGGAATGGTCACCCGTTCCGATGCAAACTTACTTTTGCATTGGTTGCATATCAAAAATTGACCATCAAAACGAGTGCCGGTGCACTTTTTTTCACTGCAGATGTGTTTGTTGTTCATTGTTTTGACACTGTGTACGTAACTACTTTTTGATTTTTGTTTTTTTCCTATTCAAATTTATTTTTATAGGAAAACTTCAATTTCCCCTTGTGCACCATTTATTGTTTTTCAATTTTATTTACTTGCATATCTCAAATGCGTTGGCATTTCTACATTGTTATGCCATCTATTACCGAAACGTTTGAAACTTCACGCTTTTGTATAGTTTTTGAACTTTCGCATACAATATTGTCTATGTAATTTTCATACAAAATATCGTTTTTGTATATTCTCTTTTGAGCGGTTCATCTTCATTTATGCTTTGAAGAAGATCCGCACAAAAGAGAATACACAAAAACGATATTTTGTATGAAAATCATATGGACAAATACAATTTATGCGGCACGTCATCTAGTTTTCCTTGCATATTTTCTCTGTGTACACTGCTGAAATATGTGCTTATATAGCTGAAGTTCTATAAGTTTAGGTGTTTCAACGTGTCAGTAACAGGTGGCACAACGCGACTACTTTTGCGACTTTGTTCGAACATGTTTGAGTTATGTTTACTTGTTTTTATTTTTCTTTGTCTGTTTATATTTTTATTTTATGTTTTTATGTTAATTTATCAGAGAAACGAAAAAAAATCAAACTGTCAAACTCTCTCCCAAAAAAAATTTTGCGATACGTAGGCTGCTCCATATATTTCTAGAAAAGCATATACAACGCAATCGTTTTTTATCAAAAATGGCTTTATTGTTTTTCAAAGTATTCGCCATAATGGCATACGCTCGAACCACTTGCCGTAGCATTCATGCCACTCCGAAACCAATATCTCCAAAACGTGTGTTTTGAACGCATCAACTGCTTCTTCTGGCGTCGAAAATCGTTGACCACGCAGTTTTTTCTTTACGCTCGGAAACAAAAAGAAATCGTTGGGTGCTAAATCAGGACTGTACGGTGGATGACCCATTAATTCGATCTTTTGAGCGGTCAAATATTCAGTTGTGTGATGAGATGTGTGAGAGCTCGCATTATCATGATGAAGAATTATTCTGCGACGGTGGTTATTTTTTCTTAATTCACCAAACACTTCTGGCAGACAAATGGTGGTGTACCAGTCAGAATTGACTGTTCTACGATCCTCTAGTGGAACTGTTGCCACATGTCCACTAATTGCGAAAAGCAGGCGACCATTTGCTTCGCAACAACTTTCGTTGGATTATTTTCACTTTGGAAGACCCATACTGTCGACTGCTGTTTAGTTTCGGGCTCATACGCATATATCCACGATTCGTCGCCTGTGACGATGTTATAGACGGAATATGATGCACCGCGGTTATATTTGTTGAGCATTTCTTTGCACCAATTCAAACGAGCTAATTTTTGGTCATCGGTCAATTTATGTGGAATCCAACGAGAGCAAATCTTTTTTACGCTTTTATATAACAACCATTCTGTACGTTGTTTTTATTCTAGAGCGTTCAATTGATTCAAGCGAATGCAAAATTTTATCGATCATCATGGCAAATATTTTGAAAAGCAATAAAACCATTTTCAGAATTTTTTCAGAGCATTTTCTTAATTTTTCTCAATAATTATGCAGCAACCCTCGTATTCTACGACAACTCCATAAGAATCGTAAGGAATTATTGTTTGTATAAACAACTCAGCTCAGTGAAAACAATAAAAGTTTTTGTTATTATAATACATATAACACTTACATTACTACAATCACTATAACAATCATTTCTATTGTTTTCAGTTCCTTTCAGCGCCTGTCGTTAGCTGACATTTCGAGTGTGTGACAATTTTTTTTTTGATTAGAGTCCTATTAAAGTTTTATTTTGGTACTTTTGATGTCTACATTTGTCGCTAAATGTTGAAAAGATAAACTATTGTTTTTTTTGAAATTAGAAACTATATAATTTATTCCACCATGTAGGTATAATTCCGCTGAAAACAAGTGAAATATTGTTTGTTTGTTTTTTTGTCTTATGAATAACGCCTATTATTCTCGCTATATGCTGCAATGTTTATTCAAAGCAATATTTATTCATAGAAATATATTTTTCGGAATAATTTCGAATAAACTGATCGGAAAAGTGTATTAAAATACCGGTATAATGTCATAAGAAAGTGAAACTTTGCAACGATTTTTTTTTCACAAAAAAATGATATTCTGAGTGATATTTTTTAAACTATGATTTTTTACCTATGTTTAAAAACGAAAATTTTGTTCGAGGAGAACGCTAATATGCACTGAAATTTGTTCAAACTTCCAGTGTGGGAAGCAAATAATTGCGATCGGAATTATTTTTTATATAAACAAATTTATAAAGAAAAGAAGTGGACAATCGAACATAATTCTACATTCATTCAATTTTTTATAATTTTTCCACATGCGTTCACAATCTATTATGTAAATGAATAGCTATATTTCACATGTTTTGATGGACTATATCGAACATTATAAGTATTATATTATTAACTGAAATGCATAAATTTGGAGTTGTCCGGTTTGGAAAATTATTATTCGTCGTGAAAACTTAAACTCATCTACGCCAAAAAAAAGTAAATAAGCAAATGAATGTCCGAAAATGAAAGTGAGACTTCTACTCAGAACATAGAAATGTGTAACAAATCTTAAAGATTCTATTGAGTTGTAATACCAACGCAAATTTTATTGAGATGAAACACGGCGTGTTACACTTCAATAAATTTTGTTTTGGTATTACATTTTGAAGAATGTCTTGCCATGTATTTCAATTTGAAATGCTTTTTAACGATGTTACTAATAGAAAAAATTGGTTTTGATGTTACGCGTTAGAAAAAGACTAATTTTTACGCTTTTTATGAGATCGATCAGAAAAGTCGTGATAAAATCTTCAACATGAATTGGAATGTAAATCAAATGTCAACATATAAGGTTAAGGTTATTCAATAGGTATCATATGGCAAGTTTATATGAAACTCTCGGACACTCGGTATAAAGCAATCCCAAAGTGAAAAAAATTCAGACCGTGATTTGGATGATAAGGAATGCGATTTTTTCATTCTGATTTCACCAGGTGATACAGAAATTTGAGTAGTAATTGAGAATTGAAGAAAAGAAATTTAATTATTTTTTTTCATTTTTCACGATTTTTTACCATTTACATGGGAGGCTTGTATGAAAAACACGGAATACCGCTGAAATTGCACTGCCGTAGGTCCGTATATATTTGGCGTTTGCCATTGGTAATTACATTCCAGTGAAACGCATGTCAAGAAATTTTTCAAAATGTAATACCAAAACGAAATTTATTGAAGTGTAACACGCCGTGTTTAATTTCAATAAAATTTGCGTTTGTACTACAATTCAATAAAATCTTTAAGATTTGTTACACATTTCTATGTTCTGAGTACAAGTCTCACTAAGAAGAGAAAGAGTTTTAAAAAATATAAATTAATGCGGTACAGAGCATATAAAATGATTTTTATTATAAGAATAGTTAGTTTAATCTTTTAATACTAATAACTTTCGTTCAAGTTATATTGAATTTATTCTTTTATTTAGAAGTAACGAAAAGACTCATAGATGATGATATATTAAAATTCGTTCCCATTTTTTGTTTTATCACCCTTTCTGTTGAAAAAAAACTTACTACTGTCATTCATTATTATTTTAATTCATTACGCAGTCCATATCAATAGAAAAACTGTTCAAAATTATTCTAAACTTCAAAATAAGACAGTCGTCATCATGATGTCATGTTTTAAAAATAAATAAAATTATGTAAATTTTCATATTTTATTTTTTAAAAATTATTCCTTCAACATGGAAATCATACATTGAATATCGCATTAAAATGTTACGAAAAGGAATGGCAGCTTATGCGACGCGTGAATATGCACGACTGGATTTAGACCATCACATTCGCTCGACCAGAGTAAATGATCAAATCGCCGTGCGTGTGACAAACAACAAACCGTCGTTGGTTCAATTTGGTGCTTGGGCGATGAAACCCGATCGACCGTTTGGAATAAAAAAGCGTAAAAGATGTCCGGGATCGCGTAAGTTTTGTGTGAGCATTAAGAAACTTGGACATTCAGAAGTTGAAATGCAAGATGAATGGGGAACATCACAAACATGCGCGAATTGTCAGGAACGTTTTCCAAGGCACACAAAAGATGATCGATTTAAAGTGTGCTACGATTGTAGAGCGAAAAAGATTGATGGTCTGCCAGATTCAGTCGCTGGACTGCCAGATATCATTGTGTCAACGGTCAACAGACGTGTTTTGAGAAGAAAACGTGCAATTATTAAGCGACAAATTATCGATGGCAATCGTGAGGCTGTGAACGAAAAACTTCGGACTGGGCGTTTAATGTCAAAGGTTAAAGTTACCTACAAAAATTGGCCATTAAATGTTGATGATGATGATGTTGTTCCACAAACAGTTACTTGGCACCGAGATATTGTTGCAGCAAAATGCATTATGCTCAAAGGTATGAATCAATTGGAAACAGAATATTCATTATTTAATGTATTTGCTTTAAATTACATAGGACTTTGCCGGATCTTTGATGTACCATTGCCAGTTTCATTGTTAAGACCGCCGGACTAAAACAACAATGTCAACTAACAAACATCATCAATTAATTATACATTCAAAAAATTACATAAAATAAAATATTTTAACTATTATAGTTAGCTTAGCTAGACATGAACAGACTATATAAAGTCTTGTGGTCTAGTTGTACAATAGTACAACATTGTACGGAGGGGGAGTGCCCGTAGGTGAGTAAAGTTTTTAATTTAAAAAAAGTATTTTATACCCAGTTCAACTGATACTAATGGTTGTCTTTCCCTTTTTCCATGTTTTCACACCTGAATGTTCCACCATGCCAAACCTTTGGAAATGATTGAAACTACACACGAATCTAACCCCGAAAACGACCGTCAATATGTGCTTCATAATGGATGCATTTGCCCTTTCAATTGTTTGCTGGGTACTAGCGTTAATTTGACAAAATTTATATTACAATCATTTATTTTACATAAATACATTGCATGTCAGAAATAATAAAATTCTCCCATAAAATAAGGGTTTGAAATTCTCTGTTTGGGACCATTGATTCAATTTTTCTTTTTCCCATCTATAATTTTTATTTATTTATTTAAAAAAATGTATGCATATTATGTAGCACATTAAGAAACTTAACGAAAATAATGTTATATTGATAACTTCTACATTAGAAGAAAAATTGCTTCGGTTTCTGAACGACAAATTCACACTACTGTCTTCTTTGACTTATCACGCTATATCTCTTGCGCCTCTTTTTATTTTATATTACATATTTCTCTTTGTTCTCTTGCCATATTTTCATATAAGACCTATGAATATTTTCTCTCTGATAATTTGTCGTAAGATCTGTTATTTACTTAGCTATTTTTCTATGCTTTTGATGAAACAGAAGTCAGAAATGAAATTTATTTCGAAGCTACTCAAATTATGAGACTGGCCAAAGAGATTTTTAGTTCGACTCATGGAATATTTAAGATTGAAATAAAAATGTATGCACTTTCTTGTATGGCAATACATATCTTTATGAAGTTAAAACTTAGAAATGGCTCAAAATTAAGAAAATTCATTTTCGTCATCTCGAAATTAAACTAACTTCGATGTTTAACTACTTGAAAAAATAATCGTGTAAATTTTTAATGAATACTGAGACAAACTAGTTTTGATGTTGAATTTCAAGAAACATGTTGTAAATACGTACGGCGCGAATAAGACCTCGAATTTGTTATCACATTATTCATTCCTCATTGCATTTATTTGTGCAGTTTTATCATCGCAAGAAAATCGCTCACTTACAAATCACGTCCAAACCAAATAAATTTTGTTCCCGCATCCATTTACTTTTCATTATGGCCACGTTTTTTATTATATATTCGTTCGCGTCATAATTCGTTATATTTTTTCAATATGTCAAAATTCAACCAAAGCACTAGTAATTGTTATCTCTTTTATCTGAGCTGTTGTTATTGTTTCTCTTTTCTCTGTTCATTTCGTCTTTCGCTTTTGTCTCTTCTTCCTACAGTAATAACAAAAGATTGACCCCAAGCTTGAAACACATCAAAATACGTTGTTTCATATCTAACATTACGCACGCTTATGCAAGTGTGCTACTGTATAAGTGTATCTTATTAACCGGTTGTAAAAATGATATAAATATGAAAAAAGTGTTTTTTCTTTCTTATGATTTAAAAAAAGTGGCATCGAAACCAGAATGAATGAACAATAATATTGATAAATGAACGACTAAAGCAAATAAATAAATTTATACAATTTACTTTTTATCCCTTTTCCCCTTTTTGTATGTGAACTAAGAAATGGAAATGGAAATAAGTGCAAATTTAAAGATGACAATCTTCAAATGATAACCGCACTAAGACAAGTAACAAATGGTAAAATAAATAATAATCAAAATTACCATTACAAAATGTGACGAATGTTCACGGGCAAGAATGTATAAAAAATGAATTTCTATCCTATGCTACTTTTTATACGCGATTAATTGATATGAATGAAAGTAATTATGAATTCATTCAAAGAAACGAAAAAAAAACAAGTATTCTTGCAATATAAACAAATATTTAGTAGAAGACATAAACATGAAGAAATTATGATCAAGATTCATAAACTCAAGTATATGCAATATTTTTTTCATCAATAATGTTCGCGTTTCCATCTAATTGCAAGTAAAATTTCACAATAAATAAAATCTTAAATTTCATTGAATGAATTTCTTTCTTCAATATGATGATTTCTTCTTTTCGCAATATTAATACTTATGTCCAAAACTTGGTTATTTTATTAGTTAAATGCCAATAACTTTAGAACGTTATTGTTACAGGTATTAACAATTTGTTTTTTACCATCCCTGTTTAAATGGAAATGGAAATACAAATTATTGGAATACTAAATTAGTTGAACTAATAAGCTATGGCACGTATTTACTATCTGCACAAAAAGTTCACTGTATTTAGTGAATGGAATTATCATTAATCTAATATGTGATGATACAATGAACAATGCTACTTGGCCAACAAGAGATGAAAAATCATGTGATGCAATTCAAAATACCTCATTTCGCAACAATGTACTCACGAAGCTAAGAAAACAGGAACATGTACAATATTTTACAATTATAGACACAGCGCCATAAAGGTTTTAAATAAAAACATTACCTGCAACTTAAAGTCGACGATATCGATTTTGATATTGAAATTCTGATTATATTGTCGTTGCCTTCCTCAAGATGTTCTATAAATTAATGTTGGTCTCTTTCTTAGATTAAATTTGATTTTCATTATATATGAAAATCACGGTTTAAACGATATTCTACCAATATTATGCATACATTAGCTGCAATGTGAGGATCAAGTTGTTCCATTATCCGTTCTTGGTTTTCTTTTGTCCAGCAAAATAATCGTGCAACATAGTTTGCGATACACGTTTAACTCAATCTCGTGCAAAACGAAATTATTTTGAACATCTACCTATCGGTTTTGATATCGTGAGCATTTTGTGAGGATTATTTGTTTTCTACTCTGTATCAGGATTAATTAAAAAACCACACAAGATGAAACACGTGACGCAGAGAAACATAATCTGACTGTACATTACAACAGCTCATTTTGTAACAGTTGAAGATTCGTTTGAATTTTGAAAAAATTTGCCAAAATTTTTTTCCCGTTCATTACAAGTTGAACCGAAGAATGTTATAAAAGAAAAAACATTCTATTCTTTATGCAGCTTTGAAACATATTGTGTAAATCACAAAAATTGTAAATGTCGTTTATATTCAAAAACCCAAAAAAACCGGTCATATATGACCTGTAATTTTTGGTGTAATTTTCTCACATTTCTTTCGAAAATTCACAGGTTCATCAAAAAACTGCTGAGAATTTTTAAGAAACCCCATATTCTCACAAGACCATGCGTATTTAAAAGGTTTCTAACTTATTATATTCTATCTTCTTTTTACTAATAAGATTTTTTTCTATCTTTTTTGCCGCCTATGAAGCATTTTTAAATAATAATTAGTTTGGGTCAAATGAATAAAAGGTGGTATTATTTTTATCTTCATAATTCATAGAGATTTCAGCGAATTATATCAAAACTATGACGCCATTTTAATCTTTCACATTTAATTAGCTTATTCTTGGTTTATGTTCACACAATGCTACTGGTTTTTACAAGTCTTTGAAAAGATAAAAAAGCATAGTGTTTGCAGCTAATCTTGATCTTTTTCATATGATTGTCCGAGAATGAATGTGAGACTTCTCCCAAGATTTTTATTAAACAAGAAATCTCAGTTTCTTTATGGTGGTGTTACAATTTTTTTAAATTATTTTAACTATTTAAAATTAGAAGATTGTATGACTGTTTTTTCATATTTTATGACGATCTGGTGGACGCTACTATTGAATGCTTTCAATGTAAATATTCTTCAAAGAATGCAACAAAACGCCAACTATTCGAAGAAAAATTCGATTTGGTGCTAGTAAGTTATAGATCGTCTGTTCACAGACTGACTTTCATAAAGAGAGATCTGGCATAGACGCAGCAATGAAACGACAACAACAATAACATGTATTTTTAATGTCAACATTTTGAGTCAGAATATCGTCGTTCAAATAAACTTAAAAATCCCATCAACACTGTCGCTACCATCTAGCTCTTTAGTAGGGATTTCATTGCTCAGGGCATAGAGAGCATATGAATCAGATTTTCAATAAATAATAGTGCCCACCGGTTATGACAATGGAAATGATTCAATAATTAATATATTCAAATAGGTGGCAATATTTTTGTGATAAAAATGATTTCATAATGATATTTGAAACTAATTACATCGTCCAGGAAACTGGTTTAACCAAAATCTATTTAACGTGACCATGAACGTGACACTTCATTTGGTAATCATTTACACTTGGTATTTAACTCATGTCAAACATCTAAGTGAACGAAATTTTGATTGAAACTAAAACTTATTAATAAACTTTTGAAAATAATACACATTATAAAAGATAATAATACGATAATTTTAATATATATAATAAATAATAGTCTACGAATTATTGTCCCATGATTTCGAGTGTATACAAATGAGACACTTCAAATTGCTAGTTTTATCAGCTTACCACCATATACAATCTTTATGGTGATGCAGATGAAAAGATTTGTTGCGTGAAATTTATATTTTAATTCAGAATTTGCACACTTTTAGAAAATACTATGGTAAAACAGTCGTCTAAGTCGTTGTCAATATGTGAAACAAATCGTCTTCGGCGGTTTTCTGATTAAAACATTCGGTGTAATTGAACCTCACAGAAACTTGTTAAAGACGAAATGAAGTAACACATATGAAACAGCAAAAAACAAAACCGCGATACCCACATACATTCACAAAAGAGTGGGGCATCAATTAAAATGAAAATAAAGAAGAATGAACAAAATGTCGCGAGAATGAAAACTTAAATAGATTTATTATTGTCGACCAACTATGTATTTAAAAACACAACTCACACTGAAAAAAATACTCGAAATAAGTTACGATGGGAATGACTTTCAGTTGTTCATCTTCGTCGCCTGTGTTTTTCACTTTTATCAGAATATCATTCCATGATTCAAATTATGTGGTTAAGGCCAACAAATAGAAAGTTTTTGTTTTAGTTCGGAATATAAACAAAACTGATTGACTTCATATTACATAAATTCAATTTTTTTTTAAATATATTCATGCTACATTTAATTACTCATTTCACCGGCAATATCGGACTACTTGGATTTGACGTTTCAATAAATTTCTGTTCCCCCTGCTCAGTGGTT